AAGATTATCCACACCTTCTTAAAGATTGGCTTTCACATAGAAGTCATGTACTTGGTGTCTCTAGCTTTTTAAAAATATTTTTTAATATAAAAATAATTTCTGTCTGAATTTCTGGTATAAGAAGTTATCATTATTTACACTATTTATATTAGGGTTATTAATCTCATCTTTTTTGTTATTATCATAACGTTTCGGCCGTTGTGCCCTGTCTTCGGCCTTCCTCAGGCTTATATTGATCTGGATAATCTACAGAGGGTTCTAACTGAACAGTTTCTTTAAATTAAGGGGGTACACTGTTCTCTTTCCACTGCTCATGTTTAGTGATATCATCTAGTTCCTAATTTTATTTAGTATTGTAACTAATAAAATTGACTCATAAATTCTTCTTCTTTTAACTTAGGGCGTACCTGGCGTAGGTTTTCTGTAGATTTTTTTTAAACAAAATTTTTTGGAGGTTATTTTTATTCATGTATAACAGCGCTTTCTTTAAAAGTCAAATACTATCCGATAAAAATCAAACGATGTTCAATAAAAATAAAGCTATCCGTTAAAAATCAGACGCTGTTTAACCCTTTGAGCTTTGACCACCGCTTTACCGGAGGTATAGAAAAATGACTTAATGCCCAGTCACCGGTTGAACGGTGGGTAAACACTTGTAATTATTTTTATATCTACTCTGAAACATTACATACCAGTTATTTGCGAATTTTGACTCAGGAGCTCAGGCAGAAGAGTTAAAATTGTTCAGGAACGCTGGGATCAAAGGGTTGATTTTCTTTTTGATTTTCTGATTGATCTTTAATTCCCAGAAGTGATCACAAAGAGATTCAATATGACTTGAAAGAAGAGATATAAAGACTTGTCCATTTGCTATTGTCATCCTCACTGCTTTTACTTAGTTGATCAGTGAAAAATGATATGACCTATCCAATTGACTGACAACTCTAAAATATCTGGCAATCAACAGGATCAGTGGATAATCCAAGTGTGAGATTAGATATATTTTTCTTATTTGAATAATGAACAGTTGTCGAAGTATGAGAATTTTTTAAAACCTTTTGAGCCCTGACCATCGATTGAATAGTGATAAAGAAAAATGACTTAATGCCCAGCCACCGGTTTAACAGTGGTAGAGAAAATGACTTAATGTCCAGCCACCAGTTAAACGGTGGGTAAACACTTGTAACTATTATTATATCTACCATGAAACATTACATACCAATTATTTGTCAATTTTGAATCAGGAGCTCAGGCAGAAGAGTTAGAATTGTTCAGGAACGCAGGGATCAAAGGGTTAAAACATTTCCCAGATACATAAATTCCTGTACTTGTTTGACTTTTGACCTCTCCAATTAGTAGCTCGAATTTTGGACTGACCGTTTTGCTAATGATCATATATTCTGTCTATTCCTTTTTTTCTCACTTTTGACATTGATATTAATATGCAGTTCAGCACTCTCTTTTTTGTTTTTTAATACTTTACTTAGGTTTTCGAAGGCATCTTTCCCAATTCAAATGTGATTTTCGATTTTTTGTGTCGCATTTTCCGTTGCCAGTTAAATAACTTAGCAGGTATCTAAATTCCTGCAATTATTTGATTTTGACGTCTCCAAGTTGTGAATCTCAAATTCTGTTTTTATGAGCCCTGACCACCGCTTTACCGGTGGTAGAGAAAAATGACGTAATGCCCAACCACCGGTTGAACGGTGGGTAAACACTTGTAACTATATTTATATCTATCGTGACACATTACATACCAATTATTTGCGAATTTTGACTCAGGAGCTCAGGCAAAATGATTAAAATTGTTTAGGAACGCAGGGATCAAAGGGTTAATGAAAACCAGACACAAATATAAATCAAACGCTATTCGATAAAACACGATTCGATAAAACTTCGACGTTATTCGATAAAAAAATTATTGTATACCCCACTTCTTGCTGGGGGTAGTCTTGGGACGACTGTCTTGATTCTCTCATATGTTGCTTTCTTCTTTCTGTCATCTTCCGGCCGGGTGATTGCTAGTTTGTTTGTTCAGAGTTAAAATGAGAACTTCAAGAAAAGGGTTTTTTAAACTTATCTATTTTATTAAACACGTCGGCGTGTACATCTTCTATCAACCCCAGTGTGGAGCAAGTTCCCCGAGACACGAAATAACCACGTCTGATCTTTTCAACGTGTAAAACTTAACTCCTCGAAAACACTTTCTAAATCTAACATCCCCACGTTCGGCTAAGCAAATGAAAATCGAGATCCCTATTTTGTCTACCAGCTGACCCCAAGGTCAGCCTCAGAAGATCTGAGCTAAATACACTGCCATTAAAAAATAATAGTCTGAAACTGTTATTTAACACAGACGTTATTTGATAAAAACTCAGAAGCTATTTCAATAAAACACAAATTTGTTTTAAAAACAACCAGAGGTTACTGATAAAAATCAGATTAAAAAAAAAAACAACAAAACAACAAAACAAAAAAAAACTAAAAAACAAAAACAGGTTATTAGATAAAATGGGCTTTTCTATAAAAAAAAAATAGCGTTTAGTCTAAAAAACGAGTCGTTAATCAATAAAAGTTAGATGCTGGAATTAAAAAGAAACATTTCATCTGAGAATTCAGACAAGACACTGACACTCTGTAGCAGTTAACAAGCTTGTCTCTATAGATCAAAGGTTCCCAACATTTTTTTTTTACCCGTGGCCCCCTTTTCACTTCTTTTTTCTTCTTGGTGGACTTCTTAATAGCTATTTGACATAAGACAACAATTTCTATTTTTCACTAATAACATTTTTGAGGTTTTAATAATCAAAAAAATATTATATAATTTAAATGAAACTAATTTAATTCAAATAAATTATTTTACAATACTAATAAAAATGATAATAATTTTTATTGACCAATAACTTGTATTACAATATCACAATGTTTTTCCAAGGTCAAGGCCATGGGGAGCAGAGAGCTTCAGGCAATTGAATTCCCTGCAGCATTTATTTATGCACACCGGTTAAAAATTTTAATAAACAAATTTAACCTTAGGTATCGAAAATTCAGTGTCGGAACCTATTTAAAAGAAATAAAGAATCATATATATATATATATATATATATATGAATGAATGATTTTGTAGCTTAAACGTCGGACGATTGTTTTCGCCTTGTTTTAATGGTCTTGGTTCTTTTTTTTTTATTCCCCATTTTTCTTCAGGTGCCGATTTGTTCTGCTGCAAGTTGACCTATCCGAGTTTTTTTTCAAACGAGTACCACCATACATATATATATATATATATATATATATATATATATATATATATATATATATATATATATAGTGCAAATTACAGTAGAAATTTAATTTTTAATAATAAAAAAAAACATTCTGAGTTGGTTTTTTTTATGGGCCTAAAATATCATGGTGGACACCCAATTTGTTATATTTTGCCTGTGGACCCCAGAAATGTTACATGAACCCCTAGGGCCTATGTAGACTCTCGTTGAGAACACTTTGTGCTAGATCGATAGTAAATCCTATCATCATTGGGTGCCCTTTCTTTCGACCTTGTGCCACGTCTAAACTAAACTTACAAAATAACCATCTGAGAATTCCGATAACTCAATTACCAGTTATGTGTTGGCTTTTAAAATTCCAGTGATATATGCTTAGTGCTTAGCAGTATAACAGCAATTAGCTGCTAACGTGAAAAATGAATCTATGTATTGGCTAGCAAAGTTCTTGTTCTGGCATGCCACGATGGTTGTCGGAAGAAAGAGTGGGTGGGATATAACTACTGAGCCTTACCACCGATGGTGGAACAGCAAAATAGTATTTATGGCTAGTGCTAGTCTTGGTAAGGCAAACCACTTGTAGCCATATGCGCACCTATCGCGAAGGCTAGATGATTTAACAGATGAACGCGTACGTTGATTGATTAAATCGGTCACTGAACCAAAAGAAAGGCTATATTAAGCGTAGTTCAGGAAGTTGTATCAAATGAATACGCATAGTTTGAAGAAAACCCGGATGTCTTCCCAAACACGTGGATCAACTAAAATAACACACACACACACACACACACACACACACACACACACACACACACACACACACACACACACACATTTTTTATGCATTTCACCCCAAGCAAAAGCAAAGCGGGAGTGCCACTAGTACGCAGGGGGTCACAGAAAGTGAAAATAAGAAAAAAAGAACTAGGTATGGGGGGAGATAAAAAGAAGAACAGGGAAGAAGGCATCAGAAGATGGCGATTGATGTTGCATTTAAATTTTTGAAGCTTGTTGTTATCAGGGAAGTGTGTTCCACTGTCTGGAAATGCGAGAGAAGAAACTGTTGCAGTAGAAGTAGCGGTTACATTTGTCTGTTTCAACAGTAATAGGGTGGGACCTACATGCCAATCTCGTAGCATGCTTCAATTCATGTAGTCGTGGCACCAGGGAGAAAAAGCTCGTCAGAGCAGCTGCCATGAAAATATTTGTAGAAAAGACAGAGAGAAGCCACATCATATCTGTGAGAAAGTGACTGAAGCCAAGATGCCAAGTCAGGACCGACTACATTGTAGATTCTTCTTTGTATTGTGTCGAGGACCTCGAGATGAACAGAAGGGGCACCGTACCTTATAGAGAAACAGTATTCAATCCATGGATGGTAGATTTGTAGATGTCTGGATGTCTAGGATGGACGAGAAAAACCTTCTGGCTCGGGGTGGGGTGGGTTAAGCATGTGTTATATTATTGATGGTATTTTAATAGTTTTGGTCTATTTGTTTGCCACAATTAGGCTTGTAAAGGGTTTTTTAGAAGAGTTTTTGTAGAGATTTTATTCACTGAGTATGTCTAAATTCTTTTTTAAACCGTAAATGACTGAATTTGTTTTAAAAATGTATTTCAAGTCGGACTTTCGGCGTTCTTGTTGGCATTTAAATGAAGCTACTAAAATAACCCATTTAACATTCTCAATGCTATGCTCCGATTGGTTGAAATGTGCAGCTACAGTGAAATATACATACATATCTATCTATCTATCTATCTATCTATCTATCTATCTATCTATCTATCTATCTATCTATCTGTGTGTGTGTGTGTGTGTGTGTGTGTGTGTGTGTGTGTGTAAAATAGATAGGTTAGTTAATAAAACAAGAACAAACGAAAAGGTACCAATATAATCAATACGAAAAAATATTAAATATTAATTATTAACCATATGATAGAAGTGAAACAAAAAAATGGTTTTAAGTCCAGAATTTTTGGACACGACTGTGTCTTTACCAACAGGACGAGAAATAAACAGAGAAATGGGAATTACTCAACGACAGATGATTTTGTGGACGGTGTATTTTCTGGTGGAGATCATATTATTGGCAAAAACCCGATTTCTGTCTGATTCCTGTGCGAAACTTTTATGAAAATGAACGTAAATATAAAATTTTGGTCGGTGTAAAAGCGTTAGGTCGGTCTATTAGTAGTAGTAGGGGGAGTGGGGAAGTGAGGTTGTAAACATAGATGAAGAGAGACATAGGTTTCGGAGTGGGGAAGACGTTTCCCGTGTGCTCAGTGTAGCCGAAAATTGTTCGACCATGTTGTCTATTTCAGAAAGGCGGGCTGTAGTTGTAATAACGCCTAAAAAAAAAATCAATCGTTATCTTTTGTCTTCTTAATTCCTTTTCTTTTAATGCTATCTCTGTTTCTTTAATTCTCAATAAACCTTCTATCTTGTGGCTTTCATCGCCTTGATTGGGGTGAAAAAAAAGTGTTCATATTGAAGTCACCCAAAAATGTTTAATTTAATTATTTAAACAAATTATTATTATTATTATTATTATTATTATTATTATTTCTTCAGCACTCAATGTTTGCTGGAAACTGGAAGACTCATCATTAATCTTTGTGCCACATAATTTATATTTACGCGTGGATAATATTTCACGGGAATTGTTTTGTAGATCTTTCCTCTTTGGTATCTAGATTTTCACGAATTTAAGCGCAGTACTAGATTAGCAGTTAGGTCTCATAATGTCACCGCTACATTTGCTAGTAGTAACCGTATGTTTTACGCTGTTAATTTCTTCTTCCACGATTCTCGCTCTTGGAACTCTATTCTGGCTTCCTGCTTACTTGTCAACTACGATTTTCAGACATTTAAATACAACGTCAATCGTAAATTATCTTTCAATCCTGTTCTTCTATTGTTCTTTTGTGATCTCAGTAAATATTATATATATTGTGTGGGCGGATGTGTATCTAGGCAAACAAGTTTCTTTTAA